TACATGCTTGTAAGTAAAAAAGTAAATTACACTGACTGAGCACTTGCCCTGTGCCAGGCTCTGTGCTCGGCTCCTATGAAGCAGGCACACTACCGTCACACCCATTTTACAGATGAGGACAGCAAGGCTAAATGGCTTGCCCAAGTTGTTCACCAGGAAGCCTGAGGGTCAAGCCTGCACTCTGGACCACTGGCCCAGCAATGTCCCTATGGAGGTGGAGCCACTGGTAGGTGTGTCATTTCCAAGAGGGACAACCTCACATAGATATCAGGCAAGTCCCAGATGTCCATGAGTTCTGACCCACGCGCCAGTGCCCTCAAAGGCCCCAGTGCTGCCCTGACCTTCCTCCAGACCGCACAGCCCATGTAGACCATTCCTCCATGCGGCCAGGCGCTGTGCTGTGGGGACAATGAGTGATAATTGTAGCTCAGGCTCACTGAGTACCAGGCATTAAGCCATCTAATCTTCATGGTATCCCTGGGGGCTGCGTGACTGTTATTCCCATTCCAGAACACAGCCTGAGAAGTACACTGAGAGAGGGAGGAGGGAGCCATTCCTTCTGCCTTGGGAACTCAGAGGCAGGGAAACAAGTCTTCATGAGACAAGAGAGCTTTGAGTTCATCCATGAAAGATTAGAATTTCATCAGGCAGTGATGGGGACAGGGCATTCCAGGCCAGGGCACAGCCTGAGCAAAGGTGTGGGAGTGGGAGGGGGGCCCAGGGTGAAGCTAAGGAGGGCTCAGCTGGGAACCACAAGCAAGGTCACAGGGGGTTTCGGGTTGCTGGCTTCAGAGGCTGTGCAAGGGAGTGGGGTGTTTGAAGATTGAGGGGAGCAATGGTTGCTGCATGTTTATTGAGCATTTATTAGGAGCCAGGCTCTGTAATAGGCGTTGGGGAGCAGCGATGACTAAGGCACAGTCACCCATTAGAACCTGGCTGGGAGAGGCCATCTCGGCTGGGGACATACGTTCTGTTCCTGGAGCCCCGGCTGGCCCCAGTAACCTGGATCCAGAATCCTTTCCTCCTTGGACTGGACTTCTCCTTCCATAAAACAGGCTTAACTGCACTTGCCACCTGGTGATGGGGCTCTTTGAGCAACCTGGATAAAAGATTTTGTAAAATAGGAGCCCTGTCGCCAGACTGGGTGGGGTGGAGTAGGAGTAGGGAGCCCACATCAGATCCCCAGGAGGCAGAGAAACAGCCCTTGGGGGTCAGGAGGCACCGAGATTCTCTGAGGTTACTACCTCCTGTCAGCTGTCAGACGTGTTCCCGCAGGCAGGAAGCCTGAAATAAAGCCTCCTCTCACCCAGGACATTCTGCCTGTGATGGTTAAATGACAGACGCTGACATCCTGGCGGCTGATGGGCACGGACGGCCAGGAGGAAGAAATGGATGTGGCCTTGGCTGCAGGGAAGTGGCCAGATGTGCCTACTAGGTGTGCATTTGACACAAGCATTCTGAGCACTAGTAGGGTGGGTCCGGGCACAAGTATTTGGAGTCATGGGGGAGGCAGACAGGACACGGCTCATTCCACCACCACGTGGGGGGGAATGGGAAAGTCTGGTCTCTGGAAGCTACCTGACTCGCCTCCAAGGCCAAAACAAACCCTTCTCCCTTCTGAAGACCGCAGGTGGCACAAGCCCTTTGTGCTGAAGCAGCTCCGCCCCTCACTTGACGTCACCGAGGAACAGGCCAAGAAGCCTTGTCGAGTTGACACAGCCAGTTGCGTGACAGACAGGACAGTTGTTATTATTCGCATTTTACAAATGAGAGGTGCAGTGGCTCACAGAGCAGGTCACAGAGCAAGCCAGTGGTGCCCCGGCCTAGACCCGGGGCTGCAGATTCTGCATCCTCCTTGCTTTTCACCGCAGCCCACGCTGCTGCGGGACCTCCCAGGGCTGCTGCTGCTCTGGATCTGCGTGGGGGGGGGTGTTCTGTGGTCCCAGAGCACTCGGGTTGGTCCCCTGGCAAAGCAGGCGCTGGGGCAGGAGCCAGCTGAGGCTCCTCTCACTGAGCTGTTCCTCAGCATTCCCAGTGCAGAGCCAACTTCTCCATGAAGCAGGGCAGGCATGACGCCCAGAATGCAGGATGCTTTGGGGGCCCCCAGAAATCTTTTCATTTCTTTTAAAACTGGAAGAAGAAGAAAAACTGGAAGAAAAATTAAGTATAATAATGATGAACACTTACTTATGAATCAAGCCTAGATAATAGTCATCTTTCTACCAATGTGGTGGTAGAAGATAATTTTAAATCTTTTTTATGAAGAAAGGGGTCCCCAAGGCAAAAGGGCCTGGCAATGGAGAAAGCCATCCTTTGGCCCCACAGCAGTGGCCACATTGTCAGCCACCAGGACCCTGTTCCAGCCAGGGCCAAGCTGGCCACCTCCGCCCTGCCACTGTTTATGAAATGATGATGGGAGAGAGGAGTGGTAAGAACCGAGCAGTGAAAAAGAGAAGAGGGGTGATAGGAAAAGACTAGACAAATGAACAGCTGCAGGACAGACAGCGGAGTCTGGAAGGACCGAGTCCTGCTGAGGGAGAAGATGGCAAAGAGGCCGGGGCAGCAGAGATGGGGAGGCAGGGCTGTGTGATCGCACTCGGCTGACAGGTGCTGTCAGAGGGGACCGTCTGGAAAGAGGGAGGGGCTTGGCACAAGTGTGGGAGCCTTGAACAACTAGACCAGGAATTTCCCAGGGGCCCTTATGACGGACCCCTATGTGGCTGCTGTAACAAGTTACCACAAATTTGGTGACTTAAAGCAACAGAAATTTATTCTCTTACACTTTAGAAGACCACAAGTCCAAAATCAAAATCACTGGGCCAAAATCAAAGTGTCAGCAGGGCCCTGCTTTCTCGAGAGTCTCAGGGAAGAAGCCATTCCTGGCTTTTCCCAGCTTCTGGTGGCTGCCAGCATTCCTGGTCTCATGGCCACACACTCTGCGGCCAGTCACTTTGCTCCTTCCTCTGTCTCTTATAAGGACACTGGTGATATTACATTTAGAGCCCACCCTGATAATCCAGGATAACCTCCCCATCTCAAAATCCTTCATTCAATCACATCTGCAAAGACTTTCCATGTCCAGTAACATTCACTGCTTCCGGGGATTAGGACCTAACATCTTTGGGGCTAATAATTCACTTACTACAGGCCCACAGAGGCAACACAGTTTACTAGAGGGCTGCCTCCAGCCAGCCTGTGGGCCTGGCCCTTGCCTGAAACCAGTGGAAGGCACGCAGCCTCTTGTTTTACAAACCAGCACATCCTGGGAAGGGTCCTCAGAGAGAAGTGAAGCTGGCTCTGCAGTGCAGGTGGCGGGATGTGGAGATTCCCCTGGAACTGGCGAGGACAGAACCAGGGAGTTAAGCACCTTGAGGAGAAGAAGGTGTCAAGATAAGGCCCCTCCCTACCTGGACACTGACTCTAAATCTGATTTGAATTCTCATTTCACTCATTCTACGTTCAGCAGACGCTCAGACATGATCCAGGCCCTGTGCCAGGTCCTGAAGAGCCGGCCCTTGTCCTCAGGGAGCTCGTATGCAGTCTAACCCCAGAAGCAAGCACTGTTGTCTTCAAGATGCTGTAAGTGCAGGTGAGGCCCCTCTTTTCCAGGTGGGGCAATGCAGGCCGAGGGAGGGTGGGTTGTTTTTGTCTGGAGTGGACTTAGCACAAGGGCTTCACATTTCTTCACTCTCCTACCCCAGCACCTTCCTGTCCGGTCTCAGTGGTTTTGTCGTTTCTAGTCTCTTCCTCTTGGCACTTTAAAAGTGAAATAACGACACTTCTCCCTCACAAGAGCTTGCACAAGAAGTGACTCCTCCCAAGCTGGGCCCTTTCTCTGCATCTGTAGAGTTGGTCAGTGGGGAGCCAGGGCAGGGACCCTTGGAGTCAGGCAGTATTGTATTCATTTAGTATTCAGCGCTCATTCCACATGCAGATCTGAGAAAGGCAGAGAAACAGGTAGCCATCCTCACCTTCTCGGGGCCAACTGTGGCATGCTTCCTCCTTAAAACCCAGAAAAGCTTCTGCCCTGAAATTTGGGGGCCCTGGGGTCAGACTGGGAAGTGGCAGAGCCTTCTGCCTGATCTGGAATCCCCAAGTCAACCTTGAAATGGAAAACACGCAGACTTGGATGTAGAGAGAATCTTCTAATTTCAATTTTGCCTCTTTAACTGTGTGACTTTAAGCAAATCACTTAAAAACTCTATGAACCCATTTACTTATTGTTAAAAAAAAAAAAGTGTAGAAATGCCCAAAAGAACACTTGTGCCTCCAACAATCATTTGAGGGTTCAGTAAGGGCCCACTAGGTGCTACCCCTCCCAGTGGGCCCTAGGCCAGGGGTCATCAGCCTCCTTATTCCCTTGGGCCATCCTCGGGGAGGCTGTGCCCCCAACCATAGTGCCTTTAGGGTCCTGGCACCCAGGCCCTGTGGAGTCAGCTTGCTGAGCGCTGGATCCCAGAAGGCCGTGAGTGGGGGGAGGCTCACGAGGCAGCGCTAGTAGATGGCTCACGTGTTTTGAGCCACCAGCTCCGGAATCAAGTGCGCAGTCAGGCCCGGCCGAGCCCCTGCTGGCAGGCCCCAGTGGAGTCCTCCCGCAGCCAGGTGTCGCTCCCACGCCCGCACCTCCCACGAGCGGACTCTCGCCTGGCCGCGCCCCGCTTGCGGGGCCCACGCGGCGGGCGGGGCGAGCCGGGGGCCTTTGTGTTCAAATCTTCCAATGGGCGGCGACAGTGGGCGGTGACGCGGGGCGGGGCCTGGCCAATGGGCTGCGGCCTGTCAGCGTTGACTGACAGGCACACACATACACACTTGGCCACGAGCGCGCCGCCTGGCCCCACTCGCGCAGCGCGGTTCTGC